AACCGACGTTTCGGGCCCTTTACAGGTCCCATGGTCACGGTTGACTGTGTGACACAAATATACGCGATTTAAATCCGGAAAAATAGTTTCATTTCCTAATTGTGAACTTTTTTTGTACTTACCTAATCAGTAATAACTTTATCTGAGGGAAAGAATACGAAAAATCATTTAATTTTGATCATTTGTTCACTAGTGACTGTCACCTAAAGATATTGCAGCAATTGTAAATATAAGAAAGTAAGTAAGCAATTAATTTATTTGCACATAAAAGCAAATACAGTTCAATTTCAGATAACAGCCATGGAAGTGAGTATATATTTATATTACACATTATGGAATACGTATGTTTAAGACATGTACTATACATGTACATGTGTCGTCAATGTTAACGAAAATCACATAACTCACCGTAGTTGTTTGGAGGTATAGATTCACCATTTGCCCTTAGCAGCAAAAAGCAGTTGGTGTACTTCAAAAATCGGAAAAACTCAGAAAAACTCCAATCTCTAAGTTCTCCTTGAGTAACCTTGCACCTAAACATTACTAAAATACCTTCTCTACCTGCCTACTTACTTAAAAGGAATTGTCACTTGAAGTTTTAAGACTCCTCGTACATTTTAACAAAACAAAACCCTTAAATGAATTCGCGGAAAAATCGCGGAGTGTGATACCTCAAAGTTATTAAAATCAATAAAGAAATCCAGCATTCATGTTACGCATGCATTTATCAATCCAATCAACTATGATGAAAACCAGCGAAGGTTACACTGAGGTAACTGATATTACTTACGCAGATATAGTATAAATAGAGCAAGTACACACAGCGGAGTAATCACAACACAAGGAAGTAACAAGATCCCTTGCGGAAATTGTACGATATAAATCAGGATAGCAGTCGTCGTCGACAGAGGCATGCATAACAATGAGCTAGCTCTGATTCCTAATAAACTTAAAATTCTCTTTTTCTTGAAAAGAAACAACTTTACAGAATTTTCTTTAAGCTTCAAAAGTTCTGAATCACCTAATAACAAAGCAGCAAATTGTATAGGATGTAACGATGTAGGTAACTGTTTGACTGTGTATTTGCTAATGGTCGCACTGGTGATAAAAATTATATTATAAATAAATACAAATTCGCATAATATTTTGTTAAACGTGTTTATGAACGTATGTCTTCAGTTTTACAAAAAAACCTGCAACAGGATATAAAAGTGAGACAAATATTTAACTCTTTATTAAATCTTAAGAAAGAGAAATATTTCCTCTTGTTTTTGCAACGTATAATATGTGTGTATATACATATTTTGTTTTACAATTACATTATTTAAATAATACAAACAATCTGTTAATTTTAATTGCCACGAAAACCAAAGCAATTACGAAATCGAACTTCTACTCGGACTGGAGTCCTCAGCCTATCTATGGTGTGTGTAATACTGCCATGTTTGATAAATAAAACAACGAATTGAATTGTATACAGTAAGCCTCTTTAAATTCTACCAGAGACCTCGCGTTGTTGTTACGCTAGTGCACTAGATTTCATAAATAGCTTTTTATCGTTATCAATGACCTGAGTGTACCGTGAGAGGATAACATATGGTTTCAAGATACACGTGCTTGGGCGATACGTTACCTATCTATTGCAGTTAGTATATTATAGCGATTAAGTGTACTGTCCCAAAACGTAAGTACATATAAAGCGGATTACGTCGGCCAATTGTAGACATTAATTGCCTTTCAGCTTGATGCGAAGCTTTTTACTGTGTCTTATTTGAATAAGTATTCCGGTCACCTTGGTCTGTCACAGCGTGTTAAAAGAAGTCTTTAGATTAGTTTTATAATTAATTAGTAAGTAGTTTAAATAACAAAATGATGACGTTACAATGACGATAGCATTGTAACGTCATAATATTAGAACATCTATTTTTGTATAGACAAAAAATAACATTACAACATAATAGATACTAAACTCTATCTATCTTCATAAAGGGTAAGAAGGTACAGAGACTGATATGTAATATTTACAATAGAAAAGGAAAGAATCTACTATAAAAAAGTTGGGAAAAATGCGTGACAACAATTGCGCGCATCGAACTACTACAAATTATATTCCTCTTCATCTAAACTCGTTCAACAGTCCACATCCAAAGTGAACAAATACAGTGATTCATTAAGACTTAGCGTAAACAACTTTTCGTTCATTTTCAGTCTCAAGATTCCAGTGCTTTCCTTTTATGAGGTGACACGCATTATTATTCCCATGAGCACACTCCCACGCAATTCTCCAGTGTATTGTAACTAATGGCATAAAATCCTTTTTGTCTTGCAGGTCAAGATATTGCGTATTTAACTTTACTGATTTTCTCGCTAAACGTATACGTAACGCCTATTCGTAAACAAACAAGATCTTTTTTTCAATTCCATATTGTCAAAACACATAAACTGTCAAATTTCAGGACTGAAAAATATCTTTTCAATTAAATTAGGTCTTCACGACAGGTGCCCCAAGTATTGATATCGTCCACCCGTTTTACAGTCATGCTAACACGTCAAGTATGATTTGCCAGACCCTATGCGACCAGTGACCCAGCGGGTTCATTATTTTTTTGTATAATTTTATAGAAAGGAAAAGCACTAAGACTCCAAGGACCTAGGATTTCAGCTCTAACCAGTACAAATAAGTATGTGGAGTTGAGGTCTTATACTTTTGGTTTTTTAATATTTCTGCCAGCTCACCTGCGGAGCTAGCTTTCTTGTTGGTGTTTTGGAGGTGGGACAGGGCTTGACTCGAATGGTCCCATTCAAGAAATTGCTGATACTGACTGAAGGAAAAACGTGAGCCACTGGCCGAGTTCCCAATACACCGCATCCAGTATGGTCTAGCGAAATGTTGTGAATAAATGACATGGTCATTCAACATACTTTGGACACCGTTTTATCACAGATCCTTAAATTTTGTGATCCGAACATGAAATTTTAGTTAGAGCAAGTCGAGATACAGACTTTTTGGTCTCGTCCTCGTAGTTTGTTGGCACAACCTTTCGTCTACCAAAGAGAACAGGCTGTATAATGTTTACCCAGGACATCAGCGTAGTAGGGTACAACTGATTTAATCAATAACAAAAATATAGAGCAGCAATTAGAGCTGTTTAGAAAATAAATCTATGGAAATAGACACCCCGAGCTACACAATAGGTATTGATATAGATCCTAATTATAGATAGAGTAGAAAGGGCGGTGTGTGAATTCAAAATTCAAACGCAAGGTCAGTTGGTATTTGATTAGCGACAGGGGCAGTTTGAATAATCAACAGAACATTACGATGACAAAGACTCAAATTCTAATGAGTTACAAGCCCAAGGCGCTGCAGTTGAGTGTAGGTAAAAAGTTCAGTAAAACTGTTTTCCAAATTCATGTATATTTTTTGTATGTAATTAGCCACGTATTTTCGGTAAGTAGGTAACAGCACTGTAATTAAGAATGTAGAAGAGGTACTTATTTAAGTTCTATGGTGTAAGTATTTACGTAGTAGTGACAAAAGGTTTATATACTTAATATGATTTCCACTTGCTAATTTAAGAAATGTATTCTCCAACTTGGTAGTACGTAATGAAGAGAATATGACTCGCATTGCAGCATTTGCTGCGTATCTTCTACATCGGTGTACCATCTTCAAACATCCACGTGTCCGTCCTTTAATATTACATTTATGAGAAAATCTTTATTTTACATAGGTCGAGTTTATATCCAATTTTCAAGTCGTGATGGCTACTATTATTGAATTTGTAGGTAAAGCAAGTTACTTTGGAACAAACAAACTTTTTAACTCTGGTGAATATAATACATGTATAAAACATTTGAACCCACTTTCATACTATAGCACTGAAGTGAATGTAGATACGTTATGAAATAAACTTGCCATAAGTCATAGCTTTGTGTGATACTGTCCTCATCCTCAGATTCCACCATGGCTCCCCTCTTCCCGCGCTGGTCATTCGGCTAATGGTTGCAGCCGCAGTGGTAACACTCTGTAGTAGGGTCTCTCCCGACGACATTGCATAGACAAATTCCGAAGTATGCGCAGCACGAGAAGACTTGTACTTACAGATAGAAAGAAGAGAGACCCACTCCCGCAGTACGAACAGCCTTAATAGTCCTGTGTCAACGCTGAGCTCCGTAATTCGTGTTGTACCTAATTTAGCTGCAGTTTTGGGTCATTTGGGTAATATAATAATAACGCATACACTCAACATAGCCCCACACTAGGGAAACCCTGTGTCGCGGGTGCCATGGACACACGCATAGACAAACACAAATTACACCCAAAGTCACGACAGAAATAAATGTAGGCCATACAAATATTTCTTCCGGCCCGGGAATCGAATCTGTGACCTCTGCGTGGCAGTCCGGCCACAGAGGAAGTTAGCAGTAGGCCGAGGTAAGCACTGACATAATCTTAGTAATACATTGCGTCGTATCCAATTGCGTGTAGCTGTAGTGTCTCAATAAACACAATTTTCTTACGTGTTCTGTGGTCCCAACTTTAACGAATATTTCGTTAGACAATGAGAGAAGAGTCAATTCGACTCAGATATTATATTGAACAGTCTATATTGTCTTCAACTATTACGGGTTCTTTTTAATTTTTCTGTTCCTTAATTATTCTAAGTGTACTCCTAAGTACAAACAACCAAAAACAATAAACAGATACCTAAACAATTTTAAAACCTTTTTTAAATATTTTTTTTCTACTACCGTTCACATTCAGAAAAAGTTTAAATTTTCAATCCATTATAATGAAACGTTTTTAATTAGGATAGAGTTTTCAGGTTTGAGAGAAATGTGAAATATATAAGCTGAAGGTACTATACACTAGTATGCGTTATACATGAGGGAGCAAATAAACATCTGCCCTGAGTGAACTAAACCTAAATGAGAAGATCCAAGATATCCTCAACTCAGTTGTATCGGGTTCGTGGGAAGAGTTAGTCGTGTCCGCTAACTCAGCTTCTCTACATAACATCGCAATACGTACGTTACGCAGCCAAGTGAATATATCCTTATAAAACTTTTTCATTTTGAATGAAAGCATTTACATAAAGATTCCTAGGGCCACGGATATTTGATTTAACATTCTGTAAGTAAATAAATTTGATTATACAATATTCTAAATGTTATTGTATTTGTTGTCGTACAATTTTAGATATGCGTCTAAAGTATGTTATACATAATAATAATATATATACTATATTAAATTGTATAAATAAATGAGCATAATTTTAGAAATTTCCATTAAATTTAACAGACTGATTGATACAAATTAATTGAAACTACTACTTTCAATCAAACAATATTTGATCGACATTAAACTGGCCATAAAATTAATAACTCTGCCGTCCTATCAAAACCATTACAACCGCAGGTCTATGTTAGTTAATGCTTCAACATAAAGGGCTCACATCAACACATTGTAAATGTCACCGCGTCGTTATACCTAAGGAATATTTTGTCGTTTCGAAATATTCCAAATGCCAACTGAATTCTGTTTTGAATAGTCACATTTTCGCAATCTTCAGAGGCAATTGAAATGCATTCGATTTGTATTATAAGTCAGAAACATTGCACGTTCACATGTTTTTTTAGTTTTGAATGCCTCTAAGTTTGGAGATTCAAATGAAAACACGCGATCTAATTCAGCAATGGCATTGAATTGTTTTAGAAACGATTCAGATGGTCTATAAAATTGTCCAATTTATGTGTCTATTGTGCTCCGTTTTTACTCAGTCCATTATTGAACTTGTCGAACAGCTTGACGTTGTAAAATTTATGCACAATGTCCTAACGTTTTATTAACGATCCAATTAAACAGCCTTGTTGACGCGTGCTCCTTTTGTCACGTTTCAAGATTTTTGATGAGATAACTTTGCTAGATTGAGAAAACATGCGAAAAATAATGCCAAAGACGTTAAAATATATCGGTTAACATAAGAGTCCACTGATTCAAGTCATATTAGGAACCCCTTATTACATAAATACGTGTAAACAATTAGTGTTTTCTTATATTACTATGTATGTTATTGTTTGCCTTTAAGGCATTGACTTACAAATAAATGGACGACGGGTCTAATACAAAAACCACAAACAAAAAACGTCCCAAGTCAACCTATTTAAACGTAGTGACATGTAAAGGAATATGAAAAAGCTAAAACGTTGAATTTAAATTGTAATGTCATCGCAAAACTGTCCAATTTTGCTTGCTTCGCTGTCAGAAGAAACAAACGAAGACTAAAGTGTGAATGACGCTCTGTATACGATTTTAACGCCCTATAAGTTCGGACACTTTTTAGCGCGGACCCGACGTCCATATAATTGTAAGTCAATGCTTTAAGGTATGTATTTATGAACCTTTTTTATGATGCCAAGCGACGGGACGAATAAGTATGCGCCTGGTGGTAAAAGACACGCCTGTCATGTAGTGGCAGTGCCACTCAGAGCTTTAAATCGCAAAGATCGGAGCGCAATGAGACATAAGTTAACAAGTCATATGTGCGTGTTATTTGACCAGCAGGTCGATTCAAAACCTTACGATAACTCTGTTGTCGACCGATTCGGTTAGGTATCGTACGATTTCTTTTCATTTTTATTCACAATAACCGAATCGAACGTCAAACTATCGTTTCGAAACCGAACCGAAATCACGTCATACCCGTTCAATTACTCATACTTCTCGACCGGCAAAGGCTTCTTCTTCTTCTTCTTCTTCTTTATTAGTGGCTTGTTTTGTGACTTTCACAATTCCGCCAATGTCACGTCGTAGGTAGCCTCTACACGGGAGGAGTGGATTTGTTTTCAAATATAATTTTGATCCTTACTGCTGTCTGTGAGACTCGAAGCGGGTTTATCTATAATAAAGCACACAGTTGCAACATCACAGGACAACACAAAGCATAGCCTAATAAAACAGGGTTGTTAATAAAAGTTATAGGTATATTAATGAGTTAATGCAAGCAGTGTAGTTTTAGATAGGGGTTATATAAGAAATTAAAAGTAAATAAATAATTAGATAGAATACAAAAAGGGAAAAAACAGAAAAAGGTAAACATTTTACAATTTTAATTGGTTAATTGCCAAAAAATTTTTTTTACATTTTAAAAAGGGAGGGCTTGGACATCTCGAGGATGCACTTTATGTTGGTTGGACGAGGGACATCTTGAGGGAGTAAATCGTAAAGAGAAATGTTCAGCTTAGGGCAGTTAAAAAGAACATGATCTGTGGTGCCATCCTCAACGCCACACTCACACAGAGAGGTATCCCTTATCCTAATTTTAGCAAGATGGACGGGTGTGCATGCATGCCCAAGCCTTAGGCGACAGATGATGGATACGGCCTGTTTACTGAACAGTTTTTGTTTAAAAAACCAGGGTTTGTTTGGGATACATTTTTGAATCTCGTAGTAGTATTTACCTGCCCGGTTTCTGGTGTTTTGCCAATCAACCTGCCATGATCTCAGTAGATGATCATGCGCCAGGGTGAGAAGATCATGGTGGTACACTTTGTCATAGGTTGGGGAGCCACTGGTAATGGCCTGTTTAGCACATAAGTCTGCAGTCTCGTTACCGGGAATACCGCAGTGCCCTGGGATCCATGCCAGGATAATGTTAAGTAGTTTAAGTTGGCATCGGTACAATACTTCTCGGATTTTCAAAATAATGGGGAACTTGTTTTTGAGGCGGAACGGATTAGATAATATTGCCTGGAGGGAACTTTGAGAGTCACTAAAAATAATGGTTTTACCTAAATTATGGGATTCAGCAAACTGGATTGCCTCAAGGAGAGAGACCGCTTCTCCGGTAAACACAGAGGTTAGCGGTGGGAGTTTGTAGTTAAGGAGTAGTTTGTAGGCAGGTATCCATACGGCTCTACAGCACCACCTTCTTGCAATTTAGAGGCATCCGTGTAAATCGGAAGCCAGCCTTCGTATTTGGTAGCTAATTTTTCTTTTAACAGTTTAGATGCGTGAGGGGAATCTTTGTTAATGCCAAAATTGAGGATGATCTCTGGTTTAAATGTTAGTGATTTAAAATTATTGTTAAATATTGGGAGTCGAGTGAACTGCTCTATGGGCAGGGAAGGTTTCCAGAATTTGTTAAAGCTATGGAGCACACACGGCGTTTTATAATTAGCAGATTCCCTCGTCGCCTGCGACAACATCTGTAACCGTTCCAGAAGAGGGTGAGAAGCATGTTGCACTGCTTTAATAAAAAATCGATCACTAAGGAATTGCCTACGAAGGTAAAGGGGAGGATCCACGCATTCGATTTGGAGTCCATTAATCGGGGATGTTTTCATAGCGCCCAAAATTATGCGAAGACATTTAGATTGTATTTTAACTATTTTATCCAGAGGTAATTTATTACATGGATCCAAAAGGAAGGAGCCGTAATCCAAATGGCTACGGACTATTGCGTTATATAGCAGTTTTTGGGTAAAAGGATGTGCACCCCACCAAATACCCGCGAGGGTACGGAGAATGTTAACACCTTTCTCACATTTACCGCTGATGTAGTTAAAGTGTTGAATCCCACTTAGTTTGGAGTCTAAAAACATGCCCAAGAATTTGACATGTGTATCTACGGGAATGTAGTCACCCTGACATAAAATCTGGGGGGATGGGATATTCCTTTTTCTACAAAATACAACACAACAACACTTGGGAACCGACAATGACAAGCCATGCTCGGCTAACCAATCGCTCAGATAGGTTAAGGCAGAAGTGAGGCGTGATGTTGCTTCCTGGACTGATTCTGATCGTACATACAGGGCTACATCGTCAGCATACTGCAGGACCTGGCAGAACGAGTTAACCGTCATTTCCAGATCCAGCGTGTAAACATTGTAGAGCAGGGGACTAAGTACGGAGCCCTGGGGGAGGCCTTTCCAGACAGATAGGGGAGGAATAGAAGTACCATGGCAGCGAATTTCGATAGATCTGGCTGAAATCGAGTTAACAATAAAACGAACCAACTTCTCAGGGACACTCAGCTGTCGTAGCTTACTTCTGAGCACTGGAAGAAGGACGTTATCGTAGGCGGCTGCTATATCCAGGAACACGCCTACGACATACTGTTTTTTTTGAAATGCTAAACGAATATCTGTGGTTAGGATACTCAAGCTGTCTAGTGTACTGGATCCCTTTCTGAACCCGAATTGAGTTTTTGCCAATAGACCGTGCCTCTCTAAAAAACCATTCCAGTCGATTCCTTATCATATGTTCCATCACTTTGAATAGGTTAGAGGATAGGGCAATCGGTCTGTACGAATTGCAGTCGAGGGGATCTTTGCCGGGCTTAAGAAGAGGGATGATAATTTGCTTGTTCCACTCATCCGGTATGATACCCACGTCGAAGAAGGTGTTAACTAATTTTAGATAATATAATTTTGTTTTTTCTGTTGAGTTTACGAGGAATGAATATGGGATGCCATCTATTCCCGGAGCAGTATCCTTAAGCCCAGTTAATACCATATTCAATTCCAGTAGAGAGAAAGGACCATCAAGTTCTTCAGAAGCCGAGATATAGGTGAAAGTATGCAATGGGAGATTGTCCTTGTTTGGGACTGATGGCCAGCTAGCACCCAGCTTGTCTGCAAATGAGTGAATCCAACCTGAGGAGTCGTTTGAGGTGTTTCCTTTCGGGCGTAGAGAGCCGCGGAATCTTTTATCTGTCTCCAGACTACGGATGCTGGAGTACGAGGTGACATGCTTTCACAGAAATTTGTCCAACCATGTTTTTTCTTTGGGGCCAGAACCCTTCTACATTGGGCTGCTACCTGCTTGTAGTGTAGAAAGTTCTCCTGAGACATTAGATCATTGTACTTCTTTTCTGCCTCCTTCCTTTTACGGATGGCGTCCGTGCAATCAGCATCCCACCACGGAGGTGAAATCCTTCTGCGCGTTGTTTGTGTCTGAGGGATGTTGGTGTGTGCTGACGTTAAAAGGGTTTCCTTGAATGCCCTGTATGCCGTAAGACAACTGTCCGGCGTCACGTCAGGGAGGGACTCCACTTTGTTATTGATTTCCATCGAAAAAGATGACCAGTCAGCTTTATTTAATCTAAATTTTAAAAGTGGGGGAGTGTA